GTCCCGGGCGACAAGGAGGCCGAGGCGACAAGGAGGCAGAACACGCCGGCCCCGATGATCGCGAAGACCCCCATGCTTGGGGAGAGGCTGGCGGGCCCGACCTGGCGCGCGCCATCCGCTCAAAGCCCTTTCAGCGCGGCCCAGCTGCCCACCAAGGCCCTCGGCTGCTTCGGCCCCTGGCTGGGATGGAGGAAGAGGACAGCGGCCAGCGTCTTCTCGCCCCGGTCCCGGTTCCAGCCGTCGAGATATGGGTGGTCCAGGTACCTGGCGAGGGACACGTCCAGCTCGGCGACCGCGGTGGCCCTCCCCCCCTCCTCCCGCCTCCAGTCCAGGAAGTTGGCGCAGGCCCACTGGTGCTGCAGCTGCGTGGAGCGCCCCGCCCGAGCCGTCCACGGGAAGGCGAGACCCTCCTCGGCAGCTCCGGAAGCTGCAGGCTGACGGCGGCCGCGATCGGCCACGCGCCGAGCCTGCAGCGCGGAAGCTCGCTCCGCCCTCGTGGCTCGAGCGGGCCGCCTGCTGCGAGGGCCCGCCGCCGCGGGGGCTGCCAGGGCCGGGGCTGCTCGGGCGACTCGAAGAGGTCGCTGAGCTGGCGCGGCCACCGCCACGACCGCCGACGGGCTCGACGCCGCAGCTGGCAAGCCCGCCAGGGCGGGCCTCGGGGTCGAAGCCGTCGCCAAGCCCGCAAAGCCCGAGCAGAGCTGCAGCTGGCCCTCCGCCACCTGGAGGCCGCCCGCTGGTCCGCCGCGCGACGACCCGCTCGAGCTCCAGGTGGGCCCCGCCCCCAGCCCTCGGCCCGGGCCGAGAGGCTGCGAGAGGGGTCGCCAGCAGGGTCCAACTCTGATGCAATCCATCGGACCACGAGTGAAGCGTTAGAAAGGATAGAGAGGCACAAAAGGGGCAACGTCGAACGCCACTTCCGAACAGTGAGGACCACGGACATGTTGCCACACAAGAGCCAATGACGGCGTCCAAAACTGCAGATGTTGCGAAGCTTATACCGGGCCCCCATCGCAAGAGCCCTACCCTCCACACGCATGGTATTCTCTGTAGAAGCGAAGCGTCCGAACAAGACGGTGGTC